AGTATTGCAATAGCAGTCACCGACCCAAATAAGGATAACGCACATCCTATGTAGGTAATGACGCTCAATGCAAATTCGTGCGTTTTTGTTATCTAGATAAAAACATTCTTTGGTTATTACTAAAGTACCTTTAAATAACATATATTTATAACTGCTCCACAAACATTAGTAAGGGTTGGGCACTTATTTTTCAAGTGGGGAATCGAAAACATTCCTTTGGGAATACAGCAAACGCAGTACAGTGTGAATTAAAACATCTTTTTTGTTTTTTCTCCGTTAAAAATCAGGGGAAAAAAAAACGTACACGTAAAGTATCAATTTTGAAAAACATYCTCGGCCTTATTAGCTTGCATGAGTGTAAGCAGTATACACCCACCCCGCCAACTACTATTACGTAGAAAAGGTTAATTCCAAATGCTTGAAACGGTTTTCACTTTCTTCAAGCAATGTACATTTTAACTTTAAATTTAAATGAAATRACTTACTAACCGGTATATTTTCTGATCCCATAAGAATGGCAAAGTTGGTCAGGTGATTACAACTACATGTCGTGTGAGTCTTGTTGGACCGTCCTGTCATCACGTAACAACCTTCACGTGACCATGCCCCGTAACCTTGGTTAGTTCTGTGGGGAAAAAAAACAACAATTAGGAATGAAACCAGGTTGGAAGAAACATTGAATATTAAAAATGAATACAAAAAGCAAACTCACATAATTTTTTATCCCGTAGAAAAATATGCATAGGTAAACATTTCAAAAATTTTTATGTTCGGGAATGTTTCCAATAATCWAATTTGTCCTGTCATACTTGACATATATATAAGTGACGTCATAGTGAATAGAAAAGTGACGCCMTATAATGTATAAAGAAGTGACGTCATACTTATGGGACAATACCTTATARCTAACTGTATAGGGCAGTATCGTCATACTGTGGAGARTAGTAGCATCATGCTTATGATAGAGTGGTGCCTTCATACTTAATGTACAGAAAAGGGACGTCGAGTTTATTGTATAGATAAAAGTTAGATCATATTTACTGTAAAGAGTAGTGACGCCATACTTATCGTAGTGTGGTGCCGTCACTACTTACGGTACAGARTAGTGATGTCATACTTATTATACAGTCATGGTGCAGTCATAGTGACTAGTGGCCTCATACGTATTGTAGAAACAAGCAAAGTCACGTGTATGGTACTAAGGGAGAAGTGACGTAATCCTTACCGTAGAGAGTAGTCCCAGTACGCACATATACTGTAGTCACCTCGTTCAAGAGCTCTGACATGCTTCAAGATTATTATGATGTTTTTCTCAAAAGGTGTAAAGATATTTGGGACAATAAGAGATGATATCACGTGACTGTTGATCACGTAGCTTTTATTAGATTGGAAGCTGAAACAAAATTTAAAAAAATTAAAAACTTTTACTTTTAACTGTGTTTGCTTTTCATCCAAAGGGAACACAACCAATCGAAAGGAAGGTGCGAATGCAATTCTTAGCTTAGCAAAGGTCGCTATATAGAACAAAGTTTTGATACATGTGAAACAGATGCCAGATGTGACAATCATCCTAATGTATGGATTGAATAGAGRAGATTTGAACATTTGCGGTTGCCGTTAATACTTACACTCGTGTTKGTAGTTTATCCATCAGTCCGAGATACAGAGTACTTACAGCATGATAGGCTAGAAAAAAAGCAGAATGCAAATGAAACCTTGGGCTATTTAATAACAAACTAAAGGCGGGGGGTGGGGTGGGGGGAATATAAATTCATCTTTTACATTCAATATTGAGTAGAGTTCATCTAAACTTCCATCTCATGACACGTTTCCTAGATATTAGACACTACTGAGATCATTTACGATGGCTGGCAGGCCAAACGGATGGGGAAAAAGCCCAAGGAGAGACATGCAAACACCCAACATAAAAATCCCTAAATCCCTTAAGGTTGAATTTCACTTGCGACACGGCAATCAAAATCGGTAGCAGCTATGGGAAACTTTGCTTGCAACAGACACTAAGAACGTCTGTGTAGAAGGCTA